AACGCAACGGAACTTGATTTACTCAACACGCACCATACCTACACACAAAAAATAATCGCTAATAAAATTAAAAAAAACATTCGTCGAATTAAAAGTTTGCATTGGTTCTTTTTGGTAGAAAGCGCTTGGCTTTCAAAATGAAAGTAATCCAACTGTCAATTCAAAAGTTTCCTGCTACTTTCTTTTAAAAGTTTAAGCTTTTAAAAATAATTGTAGTACTGTCAAATAAAAAGTTTGGTAGTGCAGAAATTAAAAGTGGATTACGTTTAATTCAAAACATAGGTTTTACGAGAAAATTCTGCATAGTTAAAATAACATGTGCCATTTTAAGCTGAAAAAAAAATATTTTCAATTTAAAACCAAGCATTTTCAACATAATAACTATTTTTTTTTAATATAAATTAAAATAAATATTACATTTAAAGTTTTTATAATTTGATTGAAAGGTCACACATATATTTCTTTTGTTTCCAAAATATATAATAAATTATAATTATTAGTCGTTTTCGAGGCTAATAGCGATGATGTTGACATCGTGGCTGTCTTCCTTCTCGATCTTTACCTTGGGGATCGAACGATCAATTTTGGACGGGGGTCCATCGGTTCGAACGTGGACCAGGTACTGGCAGCCTGGTGGATTCCAACGGCAATGCACGTTGTATTCGCTGGTACAGAAATCGTTCATACCAGCTTTGGGAAGGGTTCACCATTCAGTTTCTCGTTCACCGTTGCTCCCCTGAATCGGGGTCTTCCATCAATGTCCGGAGGTAGTATTTTATGGTCAAAAGCGATTACAACATGATGGTTCCGTGTTCTGATGCGAACAGATTATTCGGTAGCTCTCCTCTCCGAACAGGGAAAGCAACATCCTAGGCAATCGAATTACGGTGCGAATCAGTCATCATCTTCAATCTCCGCTGTGGATTTTGCCTACATAAAACCGGAAACGAAAAGGTTACAAGCCACCTAATTTTCATTAATTAAATTAACATTAACTTACAGTCCCACTTGCATCTTGCTTAAATCCATCTCAGGGTTTGCCTTTTTGTCATAGCCGACAACTTCATTGGACTGTCTTTGCCCCACGTATGTTCGGATCAGGCTCAGGATCAGTTAAATGCGGCTTTGCTTCTCGCTCAGACCCATGGCAATAATCGATAGCTTCTTGATTGAGTGGAAGAGGAGCTGTTAGTGGAGAAAAAGACGATATGTATGTACTTTGCATTCATATGGGGAAAATTTACTCCCTTAAATTTCTAACCAATCACCTGAATATAATCATATATATAGGTCAACACCGCGACCGGGTTAAGAGAATCATTTACTGGAAGCTATTTAAAAGTATTTATGAAACGTAGGTTCCACCCACGCCAGAGAACGAAATCTTCATGAAACGTCACCATTTCTCTCCGTTTTTCATCATTATCCTAGTCATTGTCCTCAATAAAAAAGGGTCGCACAATCAGAATAACATTACCAATCGATGCTCACGTTTTCGCACTTGATCCGGATTGATTCCACTACTTTTCCGGCGGAATTGAACAAACTGATCTCTCATTTTGAAACGCACTATTAAAAATGTCGGTCTAAGCCAGGGAAAAGAGGAGCAGCAAAAAAAAAAATGTAAAAAAGGCGGTAAATGAAGGTTCAGTGCTGCCATAGACCTTTTTGACGTTTAATCGTCTTTCTCTATCTAGCACACATGGATGAATGCACGGTATGTTTTCCCACTAATCTATTTTCCTCTTGCTCGCACTCGTTCGATTTAAACGGTGCAAGTGTGCGCCGATTAAACGTCAAAAAGCTCTATGAAAAATGTCGGTATTTTTGACAGTTGAATAACTTTTCATTTAAAAAAATGCACTTTTAAAATTACACGTCAAAATTGAAAGAAGCACTTTCAAATCAAAAACATAAATTTCGATTTATATATTTTCATAGTTGAAACTGCGAGTTTTGAGAAACTTTCAATTTGAAAATACAATATTTTTATTTGAACAATTTTTGTTCTTTGTGTGTAGGGGCATCCCACTCTAAACTATAGCTCTAGTATCAATTAAGTACTTCCAAGTATCTGATAAGTATTCTTAAGTATTTTTAAGCATTTTAAGTTTTTGATTTTTTTAATCGTAGTAACCGGTTTCTAATGTTGTTATTTGTTGTTGTATATTTCGTCAATGTTTTATTTTAATGTGTTAAAACTAAATAAAGCAGTGTAATCATGTTTATGAGTAAGTACTTTAATTCTACTTACGAAATAGATCATCAAAACACAATTTTTTTTTTCAGTGAACCAGTTGGAACAGGGACTGTTGTTGGATCGAGAATTTATCCGTTCAGAATTATTTGATTTCGACCTGGCTGATATCAAACTTTTGAATTCTATTGCTTAACTGGAGGTTAATGATGCCGTTTTCGTCCAGACTCGCAATCAGATTCCAAACTGACCTTCCTAACCTACCAGTCTGAACTGCCATAATAAAAGTGAATGTTGGACGGAATTTCAGCTAAGAATTACCGCAAGCTGCATGAGTATGGAATTATTGACTAGGATACTAGGACTACGCTCGTTATTTGTCAGAGAGCAATAGAAACACAATGAAGCATAGCTGCCTTGAAATTTAACTGATTGCAATTGCACCTGGTGGCCGTATCGTGACGCGTTTTGAGAAACTTACATCGGTAAAGATGAGTTACGACGGACTGGTGAGGGAGTTGAATGAGTATCCTGATAGTAGCCGAAAGATTTATGTGAAATCAACTTGATATTCTAACTTTTAGGCATTGAAACCAGTAAGAATAAGAAGGAAGATATTAATCTGTTCTGTAATAATAATTAATTTCAAACCATTGATATTCCAAATAAAACGATGTAGGGTAAATTATGGCTTCGGCACCCATTGACTGTTTTCAGCAACCGAAATTGAAACGTTTATTTCACTGTATTTTACCATCAAAACTCTTCGCTGAATGTATTAAGCCGATTCTTTACCTTTTCAGCTTCAATCTGATTACATTTTTACGACTGTGAATTCCTGTTATACCATATTTTTCTTTAAATGAAATATACATACTACAAAATACGGCTGATTTCGAGTTGCCGATAATAGAACAGCTGGTTAACACGCAGTTCAAATGGAAAGGCTGCCGAAGAAAAAGAGACTGCCGACAATAGTTACTCTCGCCTGAGAAGTTTGGAGCGTTGTAAAAACATGTTCAATCCGTTTTGATCAATTCTGTCGATTGGAATTGGTAGAACAGCAAGCAGCAGATAAATGTCAACAAACAAACCTGTCATGTATGTGTGTTACGCTGAGAAATCGCTAATAGAAGTTCAGACGCTGCTTGGATTGACGAGAATACGTAAATTTCCGTACTTCAAGAACGTAACTTATTTTTTCTCATTTCGTGTAAAATAATCTTAAAATAAAACGTATGAATTTATTTCAAACAATTTCCCAAACAATGTTTAAAGCGATTCCGAGGCTAACACAAAGCGGATATGTTGGTTCGTCATGTCCAGCCTTAATAATAAGCCTTAACCAGGAGAGCTTCGAAGGTTTCAATTCCGAGGAAATGTGATTCACTTCTACAATAAACTCATTCGGGGGAAATCTAGGAGATGTGGCTTTCCGGATGCCATAAGTACGGATGGTGCGGAAAGCTTTCACAACTTCGTATTCAGCTTCAATTAGCGTAAATTCCTGAAATTATCGTCCCACGGTCAAGATCCTAATGGACGAAAAATCCATCTCCAATTGGTTCACCTGAATAAGGAGCTATTTGGAAAGTTATTGTAAAAAAAAGTGCATTTGAAAGCAAATCCTCAAAACAAATTTGTCTATTCAAAAACCATCTATCGATAAGGTTTTTGGATAGACAAATTTGTTTCGAGGGTTTGCTTTCAAATGCACTTTCTTTTACAATAACTTTCCAAATAGCTCCTTATTCTTCCTTTGAATGACCGGTTAATAGTTTGGCAATGTAATATTCCTTGAATCAAAACGGTCTCCTCTTCGATTCCTACACAAAAGTAATAAATTTAAAATAATAGTTGAATTTCTAAATACGCACACACAAAATCCCAGATGACACCGGGTAAATAAACAATGAAATCTGTCTAGCTACCACCGTTGCTAACTAACTAACTAGAGCTAAATATTTCTTAAGTATGTTTAAGTATTTACAGGTATCTTAGATATCAGTAAGAACTTTCTGAGTATAATGCGAGAAATACAAAGTTTAGAGTGGGATGCCCCTGGCACCATACTATAAAATGGTGCTCGATGGTATATAAAGTGATAACAAGATGACAAATCATCTTTATTTTGAGTAATTGAGCAATTTACTTCTGTTTACATCATTTGTACCATGCAGCATTGATGGAGCTGTGAAATGTAATGAATATATCTTATGTAAGTTCATCTGGAAAAGTCAAAGATGCACATCAGTCTGATCGTGAAAACATTTTCTTCTTCAATTCGAATGTTACATTGGAACGATTCTACGCAGGCTTGATGAAAATTATGATTTAATGCTAATTTTCATGAATTTTATATGCAGTCTGTCAACATTATCATCATCATGCAGTGGCGACATCTGCGTCGAGCTTTTACGGCAATCTCCCAATTGAAATGCAATTTTTTTTTTGTTGTTGATCAACTTCAAATTTTGCCCCACCCTATTTGAGCTTCCTACCCCTCGAAACCAACAGTCGCTCATCTCGGCGAAAGCTCGCTCTCCCATCAGCATCGACGCGAAAGAGAAACATCAAAACAAAGAAAAAAGCTCTCTTCCGCTCGAACATGTATTTTGACAGCTCTCTGTTTCGTTTCTCTCCCTTTCTCACCACCGATTATCGGGCATGTCGAATCAGGTTCGCTTTGCGTCGGAGGGAGGCATCGTTCTCGAAACATGCGCCCGACAGAGACGGGAAACGCATACAACCCGAACGCACCGGAAAGGGACACCAACAGTAGTACTGAATGTCGGACGGAATCAATGGCCGCATCGGTTCCTTCGCGAACTGGAAGATTGGGGGTTTCCTAGAGGAAAAATCGAATTTTTCAATGGAAAATCTCGAATGAGTTTTCCGATTGGATGGTGGAGAAAAGTTTGTGATGTGTGACGATTGAATCAAGTGTTGAGAGTTTGAATTTGGTTTGTTTTGGAAAAGCCTGTGCAAGTGCAAGGACGGTGAAGATTGTCTAAAATTTAAGAAGAATCATCTTGATCCTTGGGTGCAAAACAGGGAAAAAAAAATTGTCTCGACTTTGATTGAAAGAGTGAGCAAAAGACGAAAATTATTGCAGTTTTTTGTGGTTCAAAAAGAAAAAAAAAGAGCTCGTCTGATAAAATCAGCAGAACAGTGCGGGATCAAGAGTGCGAGGATTCAATTTTTTTGATGGTTCAGATGAAGAGATAAGAAACAAAAAAAAAGGAAGCAAAAAAGCGAGAATCCACTTTTCAAGGATTAAGTGAAAAATCCCTCCAAGAGCTTGCTGCCGTAAGGGGGAAAAGAAATTTTGTTTACAGCTTCGACTTCCGAGAGAATGTGAAAGAAGTGTGAAAACAACTTTATTTCGGATCTTTCTGGCGAAGGATTTCCGAGTTTCGGTGGAGTTAGGATTTTAGGAAGTGAAATTTGTGTTGTTGATTTGCCGCCCCGTGTTGGCAGAGCAGTGAGACAAAATTAATAAGGAATTTCCATTGGGACGGACGTCTGGCGGTCGTTTTATTCTTGAAAGGTAAGGGGAACATTGATTGAAATCAAATTTTATTAAATTATATTTTGCAGGGCTTGAATTGATTTAAAAAACATCTTATCTATTTCAAATTTCGTACCTATTGAGTCAGCAACAAACAATTTGTTTCACCTAAATACGGCTTCTGGACCACTGTGCGTTGTTGAAACAGTTGCTCGGTGCAGTTAAAATGAAAGAGATTGGGCAAATAAAATTAATTGCATAAGATATTACTGTTACTTTCAGTGCTATTTTAGAGCGTAATCAAGAAAATTTGATGGTTTTCAAAAGTTTTTGTTTTTAATATTAGACTATTTTCGGGGATATTTCGGTGTTTTCAGAGCTATTTTTGGCGAATCATATACATTTTCAAAATGCATGACCAATTATTTAGGCAAGAGGTAGGAAGGAGGGAGTCTTTTGACAATCCATTAAGGCTTCCATTGCTGATTTCTTGGTTCAATCTCATCCTTAATAACGATACTTTTTGTTTAGATGCCAGAACGTGCTATGTTACACTGAAAATAATCTCCAAGTGAGTGCAATGTAAAATGGTATGCAAATTTTATCGTTAACACATCGTAGGAAAATCTTTTTTAAGAGCATTCATACAAAGTGTTTAGTACAGCTCAGAGCTGCCTGGTGTCAACAATGTAGCACTGAATTTCACTTCCGACACTGATTTTCGTAGGGAGCATGATATCAGGCTTTGATATTACTATCCATAAGAATATCACTAGGGAAATGTTGAACATCTTGTTTTTATCTCAATAATTTTTTTTTTCGCTAATCGTTGCATTGTTTTAATATTACTGATTGGTTTTCTAAAGATACTCGATTAGCTGGCGTACATAAGAAACATTTGCGCGGACATTGAGGCGACTGATATTGATATTTCAACAGTGTGAACTGCTACTGACATGAGGTGGTTAGCGAGGTTAGTGAAATTGAGCATTTTGTAGGTATTGATACTGATATTTGCGCCAAAAATGCAAACTTCATGTGAAGATAACGCTATCATTTGGAAATTATTCCATTAGAACTGAGTTACGCAATCAAAACGAAACTTCCCCTTGGCACGACAAACCTGAGCTAAAATTCAATCACTCATCAATGCTGCCATATCTCGAAGCATAGAGCCCTGCAAGCAAACCGACCAAGCTTAGTATATGCAAACAATTTCCAATATTTCACCTTCCCCTGTTTGCATTCCTAATTATTTTTCTATCAACCCGCCGGCACTGCAGTCTGCCACGCTTTGAATCGAATCGAATCCGTTTTTGGGAATTGACCTTCCCTTCACTTTTTTTTTATCTTCATTCCATTTCGACCGCACGTTGTCCGTTGTGTCTCTGCTGTTCAGCATTAGCTGCTAGTTTTGCATCGATCGAAACTACACAGCCAAGAAGCAGCAGCCGCAACAACAGCGGCAGCGAGTTCTGCCCTACCCTGCCCAAAGCCTGTATAAGTGCTTCATTCTAAAAGCCATTACTTCCCGTTCCTCATCCCCTCTTCACGGTCTTTGGCCAGCTCCATCTGCGTCGTTCTCTAGTTTGCATTGCACTTACTACATTACCGTTTGATGGTCGGTGCGGTGCGGCGTGTGTCCATTTGGAGGAAGTTACCGAGACGGGACGACTAACAAACATTCCGCGGTTTTACATTACACCGATGACGACGACGACGACAACCCAATCCTGAGAACCGACCTACTAACTGAGCAGGGACGGCTCCAATGATGCTGCCTTGTTGCAACTACTGCCGTCGTCGTCGTCGTCGTCGTCGAGGTTAACTCTTCAAAGTGATATTAACTCCGTCCAAGGTTTTCTGAAACTGAGAGGACTGGAGCAACACAGATTGTAGGTTCACATTAATTTGAAAGTAATTTGAATTTCGTAAAACCGGAATGAAAATTTTCCGATTTGTACGTGGACAAACAAAGGAGCAAAGGAGTTGTGAGAAATTAGATCAGTTCCATGATGATTATCAGAAAAATCTTATCGGGAACTTAAGATAAATTTCGAGTGCTTTAGGTCAGTTCCATTAAATTGATAAGACAAATTTTCACTTCCAAGTCAGTCACAATTGCATGACGATGCTGCTTTATTTTAGCACAGTATTGAACAGTAGAAAGATACCATGGTCCCATAGAACGTTATTGCGTGTTTCTGGATTCGTTCCGCTGGTTCCAGAGCAATGGCCGGAACATATTCCGGCGAGTATGTAACCCACCATGCGATAAATCAATTCACATGAGCATTCGAAAATAAGATCAATAAAAGTCGTGATGAGTGACCAGCACCATGTTGGCCACACCCGGACGTGTTCTGGGTATCCCCGGGGAGGTCGTAAAATCTTTTAAAATCAATATCCATCATGAGACACATCAAATCACACGACAATTCAAAGCCATATCCATTGGCGGTCATATTGAGGGCCGTAAGAACTATATTGGCATCATTCGGACATGTTCCGGATAGCCTAGGTGAAGTGGACAGAAGCTGTCTTAAGTAAAATCTCATGATGCGATATGAAAAATTGTCTCCTCCAATTATGCAAAGGGGGGTCCCAAAGGGAAAATTCATATTACATTAAGCAAATGGAAAAACTCATATGAAAATTGCCCACCTCCATTTATGCAAAAGGGATACCAACGTGAAAGATTCATATGAACAATTTTAACCTCCAATTATGCAAAGGGGCACCAAAGGGAATAAATAATATGAAAAATGTTCGCCTCCAATTATGCAAAGGGGGGACAAAATAGAAAAATTCATATCTATAGATTTATATGAAATATTGTCGCCACCAATTATGCAAAGGGGGGTCCCAAAGGGAAAAATAATAAAAAAAAAATCTGCTCCAATTATGCAAAGGAGGGGCTCAAAGACCACCTTCAATTATGCAGAGAGGGGACCAAAGGGAAAGATTCATATGAACAGTTTTAACCTCCAATTATGCAAAGGGGGTCCAAAGGGAATGAATAATATGAAAAAGGTTCGCCTCCAATCATGTAAGGGGGGAGCAAATGGAAAAAAAAAAATCATAGCTATATATTTATATGAAATATTGTCTCTTCCAATTATGTAAAGGAGGGAGGGTCCAAAAGGAAGAAAAAAATTCAGCTCCAATTATGCAAAGGGGGGTCCCAAAGGGATTGCGCAAATGGAGCAAATGGAAAAATTCATATGAAAATTGTCCCCTCCATTTATGCAAAGGGGGGACCAAAGTGAAAGATTCATATGCACAATTTTAACCTTCAATTATACAAAAGGGGATTATGTAAAAGGGGGACCAAATGGAAAAAAAAAATCATGGCTATAGATTTATATGAAATATTTTCTCCTCCAATTATGCAAAGGGGGGGGGGGGGTCCCAAAGGAAAAATTCATATGAACATTTGTCTCACTTAGTTAAGGGGGATTTCCGGTTCAATTGACCTAAACTTTGGATTTTTTTTTCCAGGGAACTGGTAAGAGTTAGAGACCTGAGTTTTTTGTCAAATCTTTATTCATTCTTGCTCTACAACTGGGAATTTTTTCAAGTCCAAAAATCCAAAATGGCGTCCAATATGGCGGCTGCCCGGCGGGTACTTCCCAAAACTGCGAGCAGCCTAGAGGTCGCAAATCGTCACCTAGAAAGAAAATCGGCTCAGTTTCTTGAAGAGTATAGTTCAGAGAATGGAATGAACTAGAATCTTTGAAAAGTCTCAAAATTTGACAAAATGGCGGGCATTTGAAAAAAAAAGTCGTTTACCTAGTTACCGCCATTTTGTCAAATTTTGTACGGCTACCCGCCGAGCAGCCGCCATATTGGACGCCATTTTGGATTTTTGGACTTGAAAAAATTCCCAGTTGTAGAGCAAGAATGAATAAAGATTTGACAAAAAACTCAGGTCTCTAACTCTTACCAGTTCCCTGGAAAAAAAATCCAAAGTTTAGGTCAATTGAACCGGAAATCCCCCTTAAGCGCAAATGGAGCAAATGGAAAAATTCATATGAAAATTGTACACCTCCATTTTATGCAAAGGGAAGTCCAAAGTGAAAGGTTCATATGAACAATTTTAACCTCCAATTATGCAAAGGGGGACCAAGGGGAATAAATAATATGAAAAATGTTCGCCTCCAATTATGTAAAAGGGGGACCAAATGAAAAAATCATAGCTTTAGATATATATGAAATATGAATTGTCTCTTCCAATAATTATGCAAAGGGGGGTTCCAAAGGCAAAAATTCATAAAGAAAAAAATTCAGCTCCAATTATGCAAAGGGGGTCCCAAGGGAAAATTCATATGACCATTTTTCATCCCCCAATTAAGCAAATGGAGCAAATGGAAAAATTTATATGAAAATTGTCCACCTCCATTTATGCAAAGGGGGAACCAAAGTGAAAGATTCATATGAACAATTTAACATGAAATTATGCAAAAGGGGGGGGGGGTCGAAGGGAATAAATAATATGAAAAATGTTCGCCTCCAATTATGTAAAAGGGACATCAAATTAAAAAAAAAAACAGAGCTATAGGTTTATACGAAATATTGTCTCCTCCAATTAAGTAAAGGGGGCCCCAAAGGGAAAAATTCATATGAACAATGTTCACCTTCAATTATGCAAAGAGGGGCCCAAAGAGAAATAAAATCTTATGAACAATGTTCACCTTAAATTATGCAAAAAGGGGACCAAAGGGAAAGATTAATATGAAAAGTTTTAACTTTCAATTATACGAGGGGAGGCCCAGAGGGAAAAATTAATATGAAAATGACCAATGACCAAATGGAAAAAAATTCATATGACAAATATGCTACTAAAGCTATAGATTTATATGAAATATTGTCTCCTCCAATTATGGAAAGGGCGGTCCCAAAGGGAAGAATTCGTAAAGAAAAAATTTCAACTCCAATTATGCAAAGGGGGTCCCAAACGAAAAATTCATATGAACAATTTTAACCTCCAGTTATGCAAAGGGGGTCCAAAGGGAATAAATAATATGAAAAATATTCTC